GATGAAATATAAAGCCAGGAGCCTAGCTGAGATCACTTGTAGGCTGTTTGTGATAGATAAAATGAGGGTTCTTAAAACAGAATGGGGGACACTTGAACATTAAGATGCACAATATACAATATCGAGTGCATTCAGGGGTAAAGTATATAAAAAACTCATACAGCTCAACACCAAGAAACAAATAATCTAATTAAAAAATGGGTAGAGGATCTTTACAGACACTTCTCCTAAGAAGACATACAAATAGCTCTGGCTAGTGTGGCTCAATTGGTTGAGCAACATCCCATGCACCAAAATGTCAACAGTTTGATTCCCAGGTTTGGGGTTCGATCTCCAGTAGGGGTGTGTATGAGAGGCACCTGATCGATGTTCTTCTCTCACAATGATGTTTCTCTCTCTCTCTTCCTCTCCTTTCTTCTCTCTCTAAAATCAATAAATACATATTAAAAAAAAGGAAGACATATGATATATGAACATATGCTCAACTTCACCGGCTATTAGAGAAATACAAATCTACAGTGAGATACCATTTCACACCTGTGAGAATGGCTATTATCAATAAGACAAATAATAATAAGTATTGGAGAGATTGTAGAGAAAAATGAATATTCATTCACTGCTGGTGGGAATATAAAATGGTATCACCATTATGGAAAACAGTATAGAGTTTCCTCAAAAAATTAAGAATAGAGTTATTATATGGCCCAGCAACTCCTCTTCTGGATATCTACCAGATTTTTTTTTTTTTCCCGGTACATGCCTCTAGCAGGAATCAAACCCGGGACTATATGGTCTGTAGGCCGATGCTCCAACTGCTGAGCAAAACCGGCCAGGGTTACCAGAAACATTTTAAAACATTTATTTGCAAATATATATGCACCTCTCTATTTATTGCAGCATTATTCATGGTGGCCAAGACATAGAAACAAGCAAAGCGTCTTTTGATAGAAGATTGGATAAAGAAGATGTGGTACATGCACACTATGGAATACTATTCAGCCATAAAAAAAAGCTGAAGAACTACTATTTGTGACAACCTGGATGGATCTTGAGAATATCATGTAAGTGAAGTAAGTCCGACAGAAAAAGTCAAGAACCATATGATTTCACTCATATGTAGGATATAAAATGGAAAGCAACAAATGAACAAATAAGACAAACAAACAAACACAAACTCATAAACATAGCCAACAATATGGTGGTTACCAAAGAGAAAGGAGGGTGTGTGTGTGTGGGGAGGGGGGGATGGTAGGAAAGGATAAAGGGGGTCAAATATATGGGGACAGAAGGAGATTTGACTTTGGGTGTTAAACACACAATGCAATATACGGATAATGTATTATAGAATTATACACTTGACACCTATATAATTTTATTAATCAAAGTCACCCCAATAAATTTAAGAAGAAAAAAAAAATAGAGAGTAGAGAAGTTATCAAATGAGTCTGAGAAGGAATGATCATTAAGGGGAAAAACCAGAAAGTGTGTTGTCAAGGAAGCCAAGAGAATAAAATAATTCAAGGAGAGAGTAGTCAAGTATTTTGAAAGTAAATGAGTCAAAGTAAAAAATAACAAAGTTGTCAATGGATTAGGCAACATACAGGTCATTTGTGATCTTAACATGAGCAGTCTCATTGAAGCAGATGAGGAGGCTTGACTGGAGCGAAATGCAAGGTAAAAGTGAAACATCCGTAGGTGTGAAAACCATTTTGGTGATCTAGAGAACGAAGACAGGAGGAGAATGTAACAGGATTTCTGCTGGACTGTGCTGAGTTCCTAGCTGAGGTCTGTGGCGATCATGGAGAATAAGCCCAATAGCCCCAGTTGTATATGTGTATCTCTAGTGATACCCAGCTGCTCCTCTGCAGCACAGAGTAGGTGGATAGTTGGGCCTGGCTTCTGCTAGATGAAAACAAAAGAGGAAGAAAGAGGTGAAGAAGTTAAATATATTTGCAAGGGTGGTAGTGGGGATTATAAAGTTGGATCATAGACAGCTGGGTTTTGATAGCAATGAGGACTCCAGGGAAATGGCTGATAGTAAGAAAGCAAGGCCCTGGCCGGTTTGGCTCAGCGGTTAGAGCGTCCGCCTGCATCTGGAGAGACCCGGGTTTGGTTCCCGCTAAGGGCATGTACCTTGGTTGCAGTTTGTCTCCGGCCCTGGTTGGTTGTGTGGGTGGCAGCCACTCGATGTGTCCCTTTCACATCGATGTTTCCCTCTCTCTCTTTTCTCTCTCCCTCCCACTCTGTCTGTACAAAGAATGGAAGAATGTCCTCGGATGAGGATTAAAAAAAAAAAAGAAAGTAAGAGGAGCCAATGGATTGAAGGTCTTAGTGGAGTCAAAGAACTGATGCAATATTCATATAAGAGAGCTGAATAAATAGGAATTAATGGCCAGTTAGGGTAAGCAGAACTGTTATGTGTGGGAAGCTGCTAGATTGGTGAAGGGTAGTTTTACACCCACTGCTTATTTTCTTTTGTAGTAATTAGGTTTTCTAGCATATTATTCCAGTGATGGAGTTTTCATAAATTGCAGGGGAGCACACATATTTTTGAATAACTAGACCTTCTGCTTAGCAGAAGATGAGGGTCTATTTATTAGTCAAAAGATTCCACAGGAGAATTCCAGTAAAAATGGTCTTAGCATGTGATATTATAGGCAGCTTTATACAAAATTAATTCTTGAGAAACAAACAAAAAAGAGAAACAAATATCACTTTAAATGGAAAAAAGTGTTTTCTTTTTTTATTTACAACACTTTTGACACCAAATGTATGGGGTTTCATTCCACACTAAGCAATTCTCCAATTTTCTGGACACCGACTAGGTGTCCTACAATTCAGCTGAACTTGGACACTGACTACCCAGAGTTTGCGCAGACTCCACAGGTTCAGGGCTCAGTCCCACAAGAACACCTCCCACTTCAGACACCAGTCCAAAGTCCCAGGTTGTCACCTTTTCTCATTCCAACTTGCTATAATTTGGGGATTCCTACAAAACCATCCTCAGGTTCAATAATTTGTTATAACAGCTCAAAGAACTCAGGGAAACACTTCACTTAGTATTATCAGTTTATTATAAAGGATACAACTGAGGAACAGCTGAAATGAAGAGATGTATAGGGCAAGTTATGAGGGGAGGGGTTCAGAGCTTCCCTGTTCTCTCCAGGCACAACATTCTCCAAATACCTTGATGGGTTCACCAACCGTACAGCCCTCCAAACCTTATTGTTTAAGTTTTTTATTTTTATGGAGGTTCCATTACATAGGCATGGTTTATTGGCCATTGGTGATGAAGTCTTCCAGCCCCTCTTCCCTCCTGTAAGTGGAAGGTGGTGGGTCTGAAAATTCCAACATTCTGATCATTCCTAGGTCTTTCTGGAGATTAGTCCCAATCCTAAAACTCTAGGAAGCCCCAACCAGTCACCTCATTAGGTATTAAAAGAGACACTCTTATCACTCTGAGGATTTCAAGATTTTACAAGTTCTGGTGTCAGGAACTCTGCGCAGGAACCAAATATATATTTATATTTCACACAGTTTTATCACCTTGGTTGATGAAAACATTTCCCACATTGTATGAAAATAATACACCTGTGTCTGGAAAGATGGAAAAGTGTGCGCTTTGCTATGTTTGCCTGAAAGTATGTAAGTGCTCTCTTATCAATAGTGATTAATAATGTATTAGTTGTACGCATGATTCTTCCTGCACAATAGGCACATACAGTAAAAATAGAACATGTTTGGGAGAGAAAGAACGTATTACATCATATAACCTTTTACACTCTACAAAACACTCTTACTAACTCATTTGAGAAAAATATTGACTGTATTCTTCCAAAAGATCTGTACGAACTTTCCAATAAGCACTCCATTCATTGCTTGGTAGGTTTCAGTCCCACCCTGCACCCCAAGGTAAATTACATTATTCCTTCCAGTTCCCTCTTAATATTAAAGGCTTCTCTGTTCCTCCCAGAGTAAAAGTCAAACCTCTTAGATTGTGAGTACTAGCAGAATGATAGGGCTCTGAAGCTGTGATTTCTGAGTTTAAATAACTAAGCCCACGTCCTTGTTTTGGCGCGCCCTTTATCTGTGACCTCATTATTATTTCTTGATCTGTAAAACAGACACATTAACGCCGATTCACTTCATATGTCTATTATCCGAATAGGATTTAAAATTCATTAGAATGGGCCAAACATGGGCTTTAGACAGATAAAGTGCAACATGTTAGCGACATCAGTCCATTAAATAATGTTGCTACAGTTAAAAAAAGACAACGCCAAACTTCTCTTTGCTAACTACAATTCCAGTTTCTTCCCACCCTTTCTTCTGAGTCTTTCGTTTCTGTTGGCTGAAATTGGAAGCAGGAAGGGAGTAGGGATTAGAAACCAGGAGTCGGACAAGGGCACAGAAGCCCAACAGACCGGTTAATCGTGTCTGCGATCCTCTCCTTTGCTTCCACCCAGGGGCTAAGCGCCTCCGGTAGAAATGACGATCCAGTCCATTCTCGGTCGAGGCCAGGGTCACACTGACCATTTCACAGAGCAGCACGAGTGCCATAGCAGGGTACCCACCCGGGAGCCCCTCCTCCGGTCACGCTCAGGGACACCCCCACGCCAGGTCACGCTCAGGGACACCCCCGCGCCGGGCCCCACGGGTCTCCACCCGCCTCCCTCGCGGGCACGCGCGGTAGGCGCGTGGCCGCGGCCTCTGACAGAGCGCGAGCGTGCGCTCCGCGGCCACCGTTTTTCCCGACTGCCGGAAGGAGCGGAGGCACCAGTATCCTGCTGCCTGTCCGTCAAGCAGTCGCCAACGCCACCTCGCTTCCGATTGGTGCGGGGCCTGGCCGGGCCCCTTCCAGCCCCGCCCCCCGCGGATGGACAGGCCGGGAGGGCGGGGCTGCGGGCAGGCCCGCCTAGCTGTCAGTTTACGGGGGCGGCCCGGCTGGCGGGCTGGCGACGCTCGCCGGCTACCTTTGCGCTCGCTCGCTCGCTAGCTCACGCGCGCTCCCTCTCGCCGCCTGTGGGGAAGTCCGGGCCGCTCCAGCGGCCGCCACTGCCTCGTCCGGATCTCCTCCTGGGTCCCCTTCTGGCTAAGTTCCTTCCTCCCGCACACCCCGCGTAGTCAGTGACCCGCGTAGGGTCCGGAGAGTCACCGCGGCGGCGCCGGTGGTGTTTAAACCATGTTTAGGAGGATTCTGCAGCGGGTAAGAGAGTGAAACCGTCCCCTGGCAGCACGTGAGCGGGAGAGCCCGGGGCTGCGGGTGCCGGGCTGGCAGTGGAGCAGGCGGGCGGGCGCCTTTCCTCTCTAGGCCCCGCTGCCCGGGAGGCGATTAGGCCGCGGTCGTCCGCCCCGGGGTCAGGCCGTGGGGGCAGGGAGGGCGTCTGGGGCGGCGGCGGGGCGACAGGCCGGGCCGGGGCCTGGAGCCCAGTCCCCCTTGGCCGCGCGCGCCCCAGCCCGGGACCGCTCCGCGCGGGGCTGTCAGTGCCGGAGGGCGGCGGGCGGGAGGGTGTGGTGCCGGCGCGTTCCTCCCGGATCCTCGAATGGCCGTGCGAAGGAGGGTGAGTGCCCGCGGGACTGGCCAGCCTGCTGCCCGCCAGGCTGCAGGTCCGCCGGGGGAGACCTCGGGAGGCTTGCTCAGCGCGGACCCTCCTCTCCGCGCCCGCGGTGCCCCCCAACTTTACACCTCGTGCACCTGCCACACTGGGCTTCGGTTTCGCATCTGGACAAGGTTGGAGCGTATATGGTGAAACCCGGCCTAGCATGGGCCCAATCGTGGTACCGACACTTACTGGCAAAGTCAGCTGAGAAAGAAGATATTACTCACTGTTGGAAACTTTTTTTTCTTCCCCCAATTAAAAATGCGGTGTCCCCTCCCAGCCAGCCCTTTTTTTGAGCTGTCCAAGGATAAATCCGCAGTAAGCTTTATCCAATGGTATACATTTACTTCTTCACTTTCTCCCAGCGCTATCTGTATTAAAAATCTGGAAGAAATCTTAAGATAACAAAGATTAGAGAATTGGAAAGCTGTAGGTGTATTGTTTAGGAATCAGTGCCTATAATAACATAAAATCCGTTTTCCTATAAGTGTTACTCTATTAAATTTCTGTTGGTTTTGGATGGCTTTTTTTTTTTTTTCTTATTGAGACAAATAGGGTGCAACAAAATAGAAATAATTGTATAGTTGATGCCAAACCCATTGTTGGTTATTGAGTGAGTAGGATAACTAATTTAAAAGACAGAAGAAATTAGTGAATCTGTGGTATTCAGCCAATGTGCCAAAGATATTGAGTCAACCACTATACAGAAAGGGAGTGTTCTTGCTGTTGCATAGCTTTTGTGAAATGTTCAAGTCATATGAAACTTGGTCATATATCAGGGGCAGAAATAGTTAACTTCTGTCTCTGCCACCCTTTATTGACATTTGATGATTTTTTTCTTTTGCAGAGGTTTTGTCAGAGTTTTTATTTTATTTTATTTTTTATCTTAAGCCGGTGATTTTGGCAGTAGCAAGGACATGCCCTTTGCTCTTGCCATAGTTTCTTGTGTTCAACAATAAAGACATCTGTGCATGATTTACTTGCAGTACTTAGAGATTTTTCTTTTATCGAACCTGCAGGAATGTGTTACATCATGCCTCAGATTTTTTTGTCATAGTTCCACAACTGAAAGTTAGATTCCCTGTGGTTTCTGTTAAAGTTTAGTTTTCAGAAATATGGGATGCTTTCCAGTACTCTTAATGTTGTTAAGCATTACAGTTATATAAAGATGACTCTTACTGTTGGTGCAAACACATCAACAGTGGTGTAAATTTCAGTTGACACTACAAAATCGGAATTTATTTAGGTTATTGCTGAAATGTGATATGGAGTCATCATATGTGAATAAGTCAGTTGACAATTAAGTTTCTTGACCATGGCACTGTTGATATTTGTGACTGGATAACTCTTTGTTGAGGGCTGTCCTTTTTATTGTAAGATGTTTAGCAGCATTCCTGGCTTCTACCCACTAGATGTGGAAGTGGACATTTAATGACAGTGCTGTGTAATAGAGGAATGAAGACTGCCCTGGGAGCTACTTTGTAGGAGGTTGTTGGGGCGGTCATGGAAAAATTCAGGAAGGGGAGCATGTTCGAAGCTTAAATGAGGGAAGGACATGTCTAGCAGAGGGAACAGCAAATGCCAAGACATGGACTCATAAAAACGTGGGTAATATTAGGGAGAACATGAACAATTAAGTTTAGGAAGTGAAATGATGTCCAGGGATTAGTGGGAGATGAGGCTACAGAGGTAGCTACAGATCAGATCAGGAAAGTCCTGCAAAGCCTTCCAGAGTTCAACTTTTATCTTGGAGACGGGTCAGTGTTAATGCTGAGCATTTAATAGGGGCATTTTGATAAAAGCCTTAAAGAAATCTTGTGATTTTATTAATAGTTTAGAATTTAGATTATATATTATATTAATTCCACAGGTGATATTTACTAACAGGTATAACTGGAATCTTTAAATTATGTAACATAGTAACCATTTTATTTTATCCCACCCTGATAATCTTACTTCTCAGCAGAGATATTAAGATATAAGATTGCTCTGACAGTTTGGCTCAGCAGTTAGAGCATTGGCCCATGCCAACTGAAGGGCTATGGGTTCGATTCCCAGTCAAGAGTTTGATCCCTAGCCCCCATTGGGGCTGTGAGGGAGGCAGCCAATCAATGTGTCTTTCTTACATGGATATTTCTCTCTCTTTCTCTCCCCACCCCCTCCCTTCCACTCTGTCTAAAAAATCAAAGTAAGGTATCCTTGGGTGAGGATTAACAACAACAAAAGATATAAGATTAAAACTAAAGTTGCTGATTTAGAGATTTGTTGTTTTTGTTTTTTAAAACCTCACCCGAGGATATTTTTTCATTCCTCTTCAGATATAGTGGGAGGGAGTGGGGGGGGGGGAGAGAGAGAGAGAGAGAGAGAGAGAGAGAGAGAGAGAGAGAGAAAGAGAGAGAAAGAAAGAGAAAGAGAAAGAAACATCCATGTGAGAGAGACACATCAACTGGCAGCCTCCCACACGGACCTCAACCAAGGCCAGGTACAAACCACAATGTGCCCTTGACTGGAATCAAACCCGCTACTCTTCGGTCCTTAGACCAAGGCTCCAACCACTGAACCAACCGGCCAAGGATAGAGATTTGTTTGAAGTGGTCTCCATGTTTTGAAATTATATTGCATTCCTTTAACAATATGTTTTCAGATGACCTTTTTGTTTTAACTGTTGTAATGTTCTTTTGAATAGTGTTTTTTAAATAACATTTTTGAAAGAAGAAACAGACAGTGTACGTACAATTATTATAACTCGGAGTCTTTGAACATCACCAATAAGGTCCCAGGGTACTTTACAGGAAATTTAGTTTCTGATTCCCTTCCTCCTGCTCCTCCTTTTTCTAAAGGGTGTCTCTCTGAGGCTTGAAAGGGTATGAAAAACAATTGAGGTAGCTCCAATATGTGGGTATTGACTATTTTGCTTAATAGTCCTTTGAAGAGAAATGTGAATTTAAAGTACTTGATGGCTAGAAAGATGATCAACGTTTAGTACTTTAGGCAGTTTATAAATTTTGTTGCATTTTCTTTCTTAAGTAACTTACTGTGATTCATTTTCTTTCTTAAGTAACTTACTTAGTGCATTTGATTTACTTTTACTGGTATATATCAATAATATTGCTAAAAAAATGGATCTAATTATTCTAGAATTGTAGAAATATGAAGCTTTTATGGTCAACAGGTCTGTCTCTCTCATTTAAAACATGAGAAAAGTAGAAACAGAGAGCTTCTGTGATTTACTTAAGGTAACACAGTTAGTAGATGTCAAAGCAGACTACAGTCAAATTTTTCCAACTTCCAATCTATTTCCCTTTTCTTGGCATCTTGTTGCTCCACCTACCCTCACCCCCACCCCCACCCCCACCCCCACCCCCACCCCCAGCTCACACACACACACAACTGGTGTAGTTAGTACTATGCTAGTCACTGTGGAAAGTATAGGAAAAATATGGGACTTAACTTTTCCCTCAAGGAACTTATATGATTAAGTGCCAAAGTAAATGATATAGCCAATTAAGGCTATAGTAGTACAGGGGAGGAAAGATTAGAAATGAATCTGTGTGAGTGGGAAGTCTCCTTGGAGAAAATGCATATAAGAAAAAGGGTTTTGAAGAAAGTGTGTGATTAGGAAAGGAAGAGAAAAGTTTCCTTCTAGGAAGAAATTATAGTATAATCAAAGACTCCTGAAAGGAGAATAAGTACATTCTTCCTGCCCACCTTCCTTTCTTTGCATATTGCCTTTCAGTAAACAAATATGTATAACATTTGCCATGCACTAGATACTGGAGACACAACAGTGAATATGACACAATTCGTACCCTTAGGTAGCTTAAACTAAGTGACTTTTAGAGAGAGATGTTTGGAGTAGAAAGAAATTGAGAGAGAAATTTACAAAAATAATGTGATACCTCCTTTTGGAGGTTTATGTTAGCTTATCCCTGTCCAATGCAGATGAGTCACACATGTAATTTAACGTTTCTAGTAGCCACATTTTAAAAAATAAAAAGAAAGAGATGGAATTAATTTAAAAAACATATTTCTTTTGTTTGGCTGGTGTGGCTCAGTAGTTGAGCGTTGACCCATGCACCAAGAGTTCACTGGTTCGATTCCTGGTCAGGACACATGCCCAGATTCCCAGTTGGGGGCATGCAGGAGGTGGCCAATCTGTGTTCTCTCTCATTGATGTTTCTATCTCTCTCACTTCTTCTCTCTCTCTAAAATCAATAAAGGAAAAAATAAAAAAAACCTCAACAATTTCTTTTGACCTAGTGTATCTAAAATACTTAACATGTAATCAATATAGAAATTATTAATGAGATACCTTACATTCTTTTTTGTACTAAGTCCTTGAAATCTGGTGTATATTTTGCACTAACAGCACATCTCAATTTGGACTAATCACATTTCAGCTGTTCAACAGCCTCATGTAGTTGGTAGCTACTGTATTGGATAGTTGCAGGTCTAGTTGAATACGTATCTAATTTTTAACTTTTTATTTAGAACTAATTTCAAACTTACAAAAAGTTTCAAGAATACAGTAATACAAGGAACACCTGTATGTGTTTCATTCAGGTTCACTTATTATTTAACATTTTATCCTATTTATCATTTGCTC